CCTTTATAATTATTCAAAGTGTGTGTATACATTTTGGGGGTACACCCTGTATAGTACATTCAAATAAATATCTTCATTTGCTAATTTGTGTTATACCTAAAGATAATGACTAAATATAGTAAAATACCTATTTCATATGTGTAGATACTCAATAAGTATTAATTGGCTTGATTGTAAAATTTTAAACCAGTTTTTCTAAATTGGGGATCTAGGTTAACTAGGAATAACGTGTAATAAATAGAACACTTATAGAAGTATATTCCCCCCAAGGAATTAAAGTAAAAATTAGTACTATTTAAGGATACTTTGTACTTTAAATCATCTGTATTTATAATATGACTTCTAGGTAAGAAATCTGTATGATAAGCAAGGTCTGGAAACCTACTACATCGGGAAGTAAGTTCTTGGGGACAAAAGGCTTACAAATGCTTGGCTATATCAAGAAAATTTACATGAAGTAAAATGTCTTTGAAGAGACTATCATCAATTTACATTGTATAGATGTCTTAATTTCAATCATTAACACAATGTTATTTTCAAAAAGGGATTGTTCTTCTGTTTTGTTTCATATTAGAGAAACTGAAGTTTTAAAAATGGAGTAACAATTTTTATGAGGAATTAATAAAATTTGAGTTGGGAATCAATCCTGTAGCATATATTATAATTTTCAGTGAGCCTTCAATAATTTATCACAAAGTTTTACTATCAAGCAGGGGAAATATTCTAAACAATTTATTTTTGTTTATTTGTGCATTTATATACCAGATGATTGATTTAACTACAGATATATTTTTATGCCCACATGAACTAAATGTTTTAGAGAATTCTGTATTATAGTGTGACTTCATCAAATCCTTCAGAGTTTGAAACTGGCCTCTGCATAGATTTTTGCCAAGAGCCCTGATATATAAAACGGGAAGACTACTACAAGTTCTCTATTTGTGCCTGCATAGCAAAGGGATTTTCTGATGCTTTTGATTAGTATTCCCTTATCATGTTTGATACCCAGTTCTGATCATTTCCCTAATTTTCATACCATAAGTGGAAAGCCAAGAAAATAAATTGAAGAGAGCCATTTAAAGGACATGGTGAGATCTCTGAAGAAAAAAATGCATAGAGCTGTGTCTTAGTTGAAGGGAACGATGGAAGGAAGCTCTAAGACCTTCCTTTGCATATCAAATTTCTGTTTATTTCTAACTTTGCTTCTAGCTGCTTGAAATTCTGTTTAAGCAACTCTTTCTGTGGAATGTTGGTAAAGTCTATAAATAGGATCATTTGACTACTGGAATCAGTTCACATCAGATTTACTCTTTCATAATAATAGCATTCTTGAGGGCAATCATCACACAACTAAAATATTATAGGACATTAAATTACAAGCTTCTGACTTTCCATTTTTAAATATTCTTTTGTTAGCATTCTTTGAAGGATTTTGAATACATTTGCTTGAAATTCCTTCCTTTTAGTTAGACAATGAGAGTAAATTAGACTGATTCTAGCCATGATTCTAAATGTCCTCACTTGTACATCTGCATAACACTTTACAATTATTTAAAAATATATTTTGTGGTTTAATTGTTTTCTAAAGAATTCAGTACTTAAAGTTGTGTGTGTGTGTAGGGAATTTGACAGCAATGTAATTTGTTGTCACAGGTGCTTTTAGCTTTATTACAAGACATTTAAAATCATATATGAAGACAATGAAAATATTTGTGCCTAGTATGTGTTTTTTAACAAGCAGAAATATGATCAACCTTGGCAATTGTTTCTCATGTTCTTCTCCACCATCCCTCTGTCCCAAATCCCTGCCCTCCCAGGTACAAACTTAATAATTTCCTGTCTGCATGCCTTTGCTTTGGCAGTTTCTTCTCTTTGGAATCCTCCCTTAACCATGGTCAAATCTTAACTCATCTAAAGGGCCACATATAAAAAAAGAAATTATTTCTCTTTTCATTGTAGTTGAGGTAATTTTGCTATCATCTAAATCACTTTTATATTCTTTTTTTTCTATATATGCATTTAATCTCCTGAATAGTACTATGGACTCTGTGAGCAAATGACCTGTATGTAATGTTTGTAAGATTATGTTTAAATAGGTATAGTGCTTAAATGATGGTTTACTGTAGATGTTCAGTAAAAACAAACACACAAACAAATACCTACTATACAAAGCAAAAGTTAAAGATACAGTTCTTGCCAGGTAATAGTTTTGCTGACCTTGGTTGTGCTGGTAAGTGACTAAATCCCTTAGCCATTTCAGAGTGGCAAGCAAGTATAGATTACTTTCACCCTCAGCAGTTTCTGTTGCCTGCCACCCTGTCAGGGAGGGTATAGTCCGTGGCCAGGGATAAGAAGTGTACAAACTCTTTTCTGGTCTGGGTAAGTACCAGCATCTAGGATGGCCCGATAGGACTTAGCATTTAGACTTTTGGGAGGCATCCATGCCTCTGTTACCTGTGATTCCCAATAATTTATAAATTCAAATGGTAATAGAGATACCAGAAACCATAGTTCTGTCCCCAAATAAGGAATTAAGCATGAGCGTTAGAATCCCAGCCTCCTATCCTAGGTTCAGGGGTGGATACTGGGGAACTTGATAGAAAGGCTAATAAAAAGATTTAATTAAAATAGCAGGGTGGAGGTTGATGGTGGTGAGTGAAAGTGTGATAGGGAGATTACAGCAGGATACTTGCGCGGGTACCTGAGAGAAGAACCACCTGGGAGAAAGGACTGAGAAGGAACAGTCTTAATGTTGGTGTACACCAGGGCTCAGGCTTTGCTCTTGATTTCTTTTCAGTCATAACTCACTTTTTGGTGATCTCATCCACTCACAGGGTTTTAAATAGCATCTATTAGTCCATTTACTTCCAAAATATGCTTCTTGACACCTTTTCTAAAACTCCAGATCCAGCTGCCCAACTTGACACCCCATTTGAGTGTCTGACAGGTATCTTAAACTTAATAAGTTCCAAAGTAAAGTTCTAATTCCAACCACCATCTCCCAGCCGCTACCTCCGCAACCTGCATTATCTGTAGTCTCTTCTGTCTCAGTTAATGGTTCTCCGTTCTTTCCGTTACTGAGACCAAAATCTTGGAGTCATCCTGATTCCTCTCTTTCTCATTCCACATCCAGTCTGTCAGAAAGTCCTGTTGTCACTGCCTCTACTGCTCTATCTCCACAAAAACACATCGCGTTTCCAGCAGGTTCTCACTACCTCTACCGCGGCCATTCTGGTTGCAGGCCATCGTCGTCTCATACCAGATATTAATGCACTGCCTTTCTGACTGGTCTCCTAGTGTTTGTTCCCTTTAGTTGCTAATTTGAAAGGAATGTATTGTAGACTCTTTTATAATGCTATGACATGTGATATCTCAATATTTTGGAGAGCAGTCTTTGGCAAAGAAAAGATTGTTCTGCCTTGTTCTGCTGAGTTCTCTGGCTAGATTGTATGGTACTTGTTCTTGAGATACCTAAGAATTGTTTAACATAAAATGCATAAAGTGGCTGTGAAAGGCAACAGTCTACCTAGGTTTACCAGCTGGGGTTATTCATTGAACTATATTTTGCCATAAGACTTGTGGACCATACTTTTTAGCAGCCTGATGTGTGGATGGGTGGGACTGTGAGGACCATTGGTCTGTAACTCAGCTCCAATGCAACATAAGATGTTCTGACTGATTAAAAGATGTGCTCAAACACATGTTTCTTCCTCGACATAGTTATTCAAGACCTATTTGAGGTTCATAAAAATACAAGAGAATATATAGAGTTGGCTTTTTAATCTTAAAGGAGGAATTAATTTTAATAGTTTACTTTTTTATTGACATAAAGATCAGAATCTTGGCCATAAGAGGTTAAAAACTCAGAAAGGATAAATGATTCCGTTCCAGTAAAAGTCATTTTCAGGAATACATAGGTACTGTATGTATGGAAAACTGTTGCGTAGACTTTTGTCAGTGTCTTATGGTTTGGCCTGGATATCTGTATGCCCGTTCAGATTGAATAATGATGGCATTGGCAGTTACAGGCCTTTTATGACTTTCCTGTAGCAGCTTCTTGAGTCTATATTCCAGTCCACTTAGCAGTTACCTTAAAACCTATAGGAACTTATTTTTGAAATGGGAAGACAAAGTAAAATTTCCTTTAATAAGCCTGTTTTGTTTAGCCTAATGGCTTTACTTTTGGAAGGGGAACTGCTGAAATCTTAAGGAATTTTTTTTAATACTTCTATACATGAGCTCTTAGGCATCCATACAGGTAAACATTAAAAGTAGAGACCCATTATCACATTCGATAATATACAAGCTGCCTGAAATTCTAGTGAAACAGTGAACAAATGCTAACAAAACCAAATCCAAGTTGAGATAAAGATATCGTTTGACACAAAAAAGAGACTTTCATTGTACTTGAAAGCTTTACTAATCCAAATCTGATGAATTAGCAAATGAATTATTTTCTGTCAGTTTCAGACCACTATAATCTAAATCAGGGAATCTTAACCTGGAGTCAACAAATGGGCTACAAGAAGGTCTATGAACCCCTTTTGTATACAGAGTTTTGTTTTTATAGGCAGTTTCCTTGAAAGGGAGATCGTAGTGTTCACCATATTCTCAAAGGAATCCATGATCCCCTGCAAAAAAAAAGCTTAAGAACTACTGATCCTTATCCCTCTCTGTCTGTCTGTCTATCATCTATCTATCTGTCTCACTGTGATGAAGTGCTTAAACCAGTTTAGTCTTAGGACTGACAGTGAAATTTCTCTATAATTTCTAAGATCTACCATCTAGGTTTTTGAAAGATAAGCCAAATCAAGGCATTGTTAGTAATGCTAGCAGTGATTGATATATGAAGCTCTCCTTTGACTTGGTGTATGTAACTATAGTTACCCTATAATATAAATAGGCTGGGATACTCATTTAAGTGATCTGTAGAGCCTCTGATTATAATTTTAAGCGATTTTCTTTCCTTTTTTCTTTTATTTTGTGCGGTTACAAACCAGTAAGCATAGCTGATCCTGCTGCCCTTGGCTTTATCATTTCTCCATGGTCCCTGCTGTTGCTGCCATCTGGTAGTGTGTCATTTACAGATGAAAATATTTCCAATCAGGACCTTCGAGCATTCACTGCACCAGAGGTTCTTCAAAATCAATCACTAACTTCTCTCTCAGATGTTGAAAAGGTAACTGTTAAGTCTATTATGTTTGATTTTGTTTTTTATTTTGTTGGGGTAGGAAAAATAAAGACACTTGGCTACCCTACCTCCACCCTTTGATGAACAATGCATTGATTTTAAAATGATCGTGTGTTTTGAGAAGTTCATATTTATATTAATAATTCAAAATTGTTTTATAAAACTTTATGGATCTAAGAAACATGAAAAAATGTGAGCCATTATTAACTGATGTTTACAAATACTTATTAAATACCCTCTGTGTATAAAACATTGTGCTCATAAGGAAGGTAAAAAGTAACTACTGAATCAATCCTGGTAACATGTATAGAACAATCTGTAATATACGGCGGAATGAAGTAAATGCTGTATAGAGGTATAAAGTATTTGGGAATCTAGAGGAGGAACAACTTTTAGTGTAGAACGAAATCACAGCAAAGGTGGTATTTATGATGGGCTTTGTAGAATGATTAGAAATTAGAAAAGTGAAAATAGGTAGACATGGTCGTTTCACCCAGGGTTATTAGTATGAGAATGACAGGTAAGAAATTATCCGCTGTGATGGGGGGATATTTGGTGGAACCAAGTAGGCTAGAGTGTTAGCTACCTGGAAGGCTGTGGTTAGGGAAAGAAAGGTGAGCTATAGGTCTGAGTAAGGAAGACTCCAAATGCCAGAACTTGAGACTTTCTTCTGAGGCAGTGGCGAGCTGTCCTAATTTTAGGAGAGTAATATGATGGGATTTCTTATTTCAGAGGGTAAGTGTGGGAAAAGTGGATAACTAGGTGCGATGAAAGACTGTGTGGGAATCTAACTGAAGAGTTTAGTAATATAGGGAAAATAACTGAATACAGGATACAGTACAGTGGAAGCAAAGCCAACAGAGTGTGTCAATTCATTTGATGGAATAATGAAGAAGGAAAAGTTTAATGATAGAAATATTCAGTCTGAGGATGGTGATGCCATTGGCATCAGAAGAAGATCTGATTTTATTGTCAAGGCTATGAAAAGAACTGGGGACAAATATAGTATATGTAGCAGGCTGTAATAATTTAGATATGGAACCTTGGAGAATTCAGTATTGGCTATGAATATCATTTCTCGTACAACATTCCACAGAAGTGTAAAAATTAACATAATAAATTGCTAGTAGTAAAATTGTTAAATCAAAAAGTGTGAAATCTTGTTTTGACCCTGCTTTGTTCTCCATCTACTACCCTCATGCATTCACAGTAAGAAAAAAATGCTAATCAAAACAGTGAGATTTTTTTCTCACTTTTCAGATTGTCAAAAATCCAAATATTCGTAACACATTCTTTGGACAAGGCTTGTGAAAAACCTCATATTTGCTGGTAGAAATGCAAAACAATACAACTTCTATGTAGGGAAATCTGACACCATGTATCAGAACTGCAGATGATTTACCCTTTATCCATAATTTCAGAAAATCATTTCAAGAGAAATACCTGCAGGTACAAAATGACATATCACAATACTGTTTGCTGAAACATTATAATAGCAAAAGTCTGGGAAAATCCTAATTGCCTATTAATAACAGTGCTATAACCACAGAATGGAGTTCTATGCAATGCTGAAAAAGGATGAGACGATTTCTAAGCATTGATATGGAAATATCTCTCTTATTAAATTAAAAATGCAAGTAATTTTTAAAGTTTCTGACCTTTTGTAAAAGAAGGTGAAAATAAGAATGTATATTCCTTTTTGCTTGAGTTTGTTTAAAGAAGCTTTTTAATAAGAACTAATAAAAATGGTTGCTCATAGAGGATGGGCTGGGGAATTGGGGTGGGGGGAAGTCTTCCATTAATTTCTAGTCTTATTTTCTATTTCAGAAGCTCACACTTTTATAAAAAATACAAAACGATTTTCTTAAATCATGTGTTATACTTTCTTTGGAACAAATGATCATGAATATATAGTACTTGCCAAATTTTAAAATTTTGTTTTACCATAAAATGACTTTTTTTAAAACTTCTCTTCTCTAGATCCATATTTATTCTCTTGGAATGACATTGTATTGGGGGGCTGATCATGAAGTACCTCAGAGCCAAGTAAGTCAAGTCATCACATTTGTGCAACTTTACACTTTTTACAAAGCTCTTTTATATATTCATTGCAGTGTTGTTTACAATAGCCAAGATATGGAAGCAACCCAAGTGCTCATCAGTAGACCAGTGGATAAAAAAGCTGTGGTACATATATACAATGAAATATTACTTGGCCATGAAAAAGAATGAAATCTTACCATTTGCAACAGCATGGATGGACCTAGATAATATTATGCTAAGTGAAATAAGTCAGTCAAAGGAAGACAAATACGATTTCATTTATATGTGGATCTAAAGAACTATAAAAATGAACAAACAAAACAGAAATAGACTCATAGATACAGAGAAGAGTCTGATGGTTGCTAGAGGGGAGGAGGAGTGGGGGACTAGGTGAAAAATATAAGGGATTAAGAAGTACAGATTGGCAGTTACAAAATAGTCACAGGGATATAAAGTACAGCATAGGGAAATATAGTCAATAATAATTGTAATAACTATGTATGGTGCAGGTGGGTACCAGAAATATCAGGGAAAACATTTTTGTAAAGTATATGATTGTCTAATCACTATACTGTACACCTGAAAGTAATACAAAATAACATTGAAGGTAAACTGTAATTGAAAAAATAAAATAAAATTTTCAAAAAAGCTCTTAAACACATTTATGTGTTCTACAGCATACTGTCAGGCACACCAGCTTTTCTATGCTGGTCATTCACATTAATAATGTCACAAAATAAAAAGCTTCTGCACAGCAAAAGAAACCATCAACAAAACGAAAAGGGAGCCCACTGTATGGGAGAACATATTTGCCAATGACACATCGGATAAAGGGTTAATATCCAAAATATATAAGGAACTCATACAATTTAACAAAAGGAAGACAAACAATCCAATTGAAAAATGGGCAAAGGACCTAAATAGACACTTCTCCAAAGAGGACATACAAATGGCTAAGAGACATACGAAAAAATGCTCAACATCGCTATTAATCAGAGAGATGCAAATTAAAACCACAATGAGGTATCACTGCACACCTGTAGGAATGGCTGCCATCAAGTCAACAAACAAGTGCTGGCAAAGGTGTGGAGAGAGGGGAACCCTAGTACACTGCTGGTGGGAATGCAGACTGGTGCAGCCTCTATGGAAAACAGTATGGAGTTTCCTCAAAAGATTAAAAATTGACCTGCGATTTGACCCAATGATCCCACTTCTAGGAATATATCCTAAGGAATCCGAAACACCAATCAGAAAGGGCACCCCTATGTGCATAGCAGCACAATTCACAATAGCTAAGATTTGGAAACAGCCCAAGTGCCCATGAGTAGATGAGTGGATAAAAAAGCTGTGGCATATTTACGCCATGGAATACTATGCAGCTGTAAAGAGGAAAGACCTTTTATCCTTTGGCACAGCATGGGGGGAACTAGAAAGTATTATGCTAAGTGAAATAAGCCAGTCAGAGAAAGACAAGTACCACATGATCTCACTTATATGTGGAATGTAATAAAATAAACTGATGAACAAAGTGGATCCAGAGACATAGAAGCATGGAACAGACTGAGGGATCTCAGAGGGAAGGTGGGGGTGAGGGAGGAAAAAAATAAAAAATAAAGCACACGTGTTTTATATATAAAAATATAAAAATAAATAATGTTACACTCTCAGAGCAAAATAACAATAAAGTACTAAAGAAATTATTTTTTTTAGAATGTTCTTAGAATTATAGCAGTCATTAAGCAGGTTTCAATAATTCAGTCTCTTCAAAAATTATAGCAAGAGAAACAGGAGTGTACTTTGTTTTTCTAATTTAATTACTGATAAAGAAGGATTGTAAATGTCTTTGATAATTCATTCTTGTACTAAAAGTGATAATCTTTTTTGGTGCAAAAACTGTATGAATACTAACTCTGAGTATCAGAGGATGATTACTACTCCATTGCTTTTTCTCTTTTCACATTAAAAATTATACTTCACTGCCCCTTCGGCAGCAGACACAGATACTAAAGTAACCCTGAGATCTCAGATTCTGATGACCATTGGGCTGCTTTTAGTTTTTATTTTCTACAATAATCCTAATTCCTAAAAACCCTATGGAAACATAGTAGTAAATAGTAATTGAAAATTATTAAATCACTATATTTCATCAAAGCAAAGATGTAGCATATTAGAATTGGGTTTTATTATGCACATTTAGAAGTCAAAAACAAAAATAACTAGGTGTGTCTTTCATTAAATTAAGAAGTTAGACACATTCTGTATTTTATTCTAAAATGTATACATCTTAAGGTGTATGAAAGAGGAATGATAGTCTTCAACTTGATTGGGTCTCAGTTTACATCATGGAAAATACTGTGTATTTGAGAAAGTTAAATTATTACTGGATATATTGGTGTCATATATTAAATAACTTGCATGTAAAATGTGATCACAGCCTATAACTAACACTTTATACTCTTTTCTGGTAACTGAAAATAAAGTCAATATCAATAATGCATAAATTGGAGGGGAAGTATAAACTTTCATTTGTATTTTCCTATCAGAAATAATAATTATTTTGGAAATATTTAATATTAATTCAAAAGTATTGATTAAATGCCTACCTGTTTTAGACAGTGTACTAGACACTAGGAATATACTGGCCCATGCCTATAGAATTCATTCATGGGTACAGATAGCTAAACCAATTACAACACAGTGTGGTGAATGCTATGTTAGGGGAAATGAAGGGTGCTATGGAAAACCAGAACTAGAGCCTCTAACTAGACTTGCAGGGTTAGAATATAAAAGAGATCCCATCTAAGCTGTATCTAAAATATGACATAATGTCCAAATGGAGGAGAGGTGAAAGGGTCGCAGGGAAAGCATATGTTTAAACCGGAGTGGATGCATCAGTTTTAACACCCGTCGGTAATGCTCCAGTCCTCCAATACTTCTTTTATCAGCCTTTTTATTTTTAATCATTCTGTCAAGTGTGTAATAGTTTCTTTTTGTGATTTTAATTTGCATTTCTTGGTATGCTTATTGGACATTTGGATATAATCTACAAATTATGTCAGCTAATTAAAAGTATCACATTTTGTCTTGTCTGTTTCACCAGCATAATGAAAACATATTTAAATGATCTTTAGTCACTGCAATAGTTGAAATCTCTTCTAAGTATCAGTTTATACTAAATATATATTGAGTATATTACATTTTATTGAATATTAGGAAATTGTTTATTCCCCCAAAGTGGTATATATACATTAAATGCTGACCAAAATACTTGAATAAAGAATTCCATTTTTTTATATACAGAAAAAAACCAGTTTTTCTGTAATACTTCCTATGTTAGAAGATGTATATTAACAATCTTCTGCTAATAATTTTTTTGGAATATCAAAAGGTAAAGTGCAGTAAAATATATACACGACTAGATAAGGAGCTACTTTCCTCCAAGTATTTGAAGTATGTGTGTTGTGGTTCCTATGACTCCTAGAATTCTTATCTCATTAGATTTGTAAGATTTACTCACACCTGTCAATGTGACTTCTCTTTTTTTTATATTCAGCCTATCAAGCTTGGAGATCATCTCAACAGCATACTGCTTGGCATGTGTGAGGATGTTATCTATGCTCGTGTTTCTGTTCGGACTGTGCTGGATGCCTGCAGTGCCCACATTAGAAATAGCAATTGTGCACCTTCGTTTTCCTACGTGAAACAGTTGGTAAAACTGGTTCTGGGAAATATTTCTGGGGTAAGCTATAGTTCCAGTTGGTACATATAGTCATATTTTTAAATTTAGCATATCACAAAATTTCCTTTGAAGATATTTTATAGGTAGCATTTTCTCATTGAAGACTAGCAACAGGAGATTGAATTTCTTTTCCTAATGTTAAGTGTTTATTTGAAACAATAATTAAAATTTACAAGCCTAGTGCAATAACTTAGTCTCCTAGATTTTACAGGAGCTAGTCTTTACTTAGACCTTTAATTCAGCAGGTGTCATAGAATCACAGCATATTAGAGCTGAAAACGTCTGCTCTTGCCTCTTGGTTCTGTCTATTGTGAAAAACGCATTGATATGCAAAATGAGTTTTAGAATTATTTAAATGTACTTTCTGTTACTTTATTCTTTCTTGACCACTTATTTGTCCAGGCCCTTTAGGTATTCCCAAACCTCTCCCCTCCTTTGCTGGACACTGGCACCTGGTGTGTGG